TGTGGTCCCTGCTATACCTAGTAATAACCTGGACAAACTTGGGTAAAAAGTAGCTTGGGAGAAAAGTTACCTTTTTGAGTTGGAGTAGGATTCTACTTATGGAATCCTACTCCACACGTTTTTGAGCCTATTTTTAGGGCTTAATTTCGTGTATAAAAAGGAGACATGTTTCTCCTGTTAGCTACCCTAGAGTTGTATTGTTCTTGCCCACCCAAAAGCAAAAGTGTTCAAGGTTTTACTAGGCATATAGCAGAAGACTACAGCCCTGGATTCTTGCTGCTTGGAGAATTTGTGCAACTATTTCAAGAGGTTAGTGTTCCTGATCTCGTTATTATCACGTTGTCTAGTTTACTTGTAATTGATGCCTGGTTGTATGCTTGCTTCCGCTGCGCATGTTCTAACAAGGTACGTCTATGGATTGAATTAACTATTGCAACACTGCAAAAAATTGCTTTTAGCTTATTTAAAAGGATATATATATATATATATATATATATATATATATATATATATATATTGTATAGAATTTTGTTACTATCATTTGTTTAATGAATTTACAAAAATACCTTTTTGAATTAGCAAAACAGTCATTATTAGAGCATCAAATAATTCAATGACAAACACAAAATCTATGAGGTTACAAAGAAATCAAAATATAAAGACAAACATAATTTCATAAATCACAAGGGAGAGTAATATTACGAAAAGAAACATAGGGGAGGTCTCTAAAAATAATCTATTACATTTAATATGTTTCTTTAAGCTAAATATCTATTTTGGAGTGTCATGTCATATTCCCAATACAAAATATAAAAATTCAAATGATATTTACTTTAGTTAACTTGGCCAAAGTTGGATGACTCTTATGTGATAAAAAATAGAAAAATTATTTTTATGTTACAAACTCAAAGTTGAATGAGTTTTATATGACGAAAAGTGACTTTTATGTTACAAACATAAAATTGAATGAGCATGAGTGAAATTTAGTGTGGAAATTACATATGCTACTAGAAAGGTACACATCACATTTCCTTTATGCTAGAAAGCTTATTTTTGGACTTTGTCGTATCATTTACTAGTTTTGGTAACTAAAATTTCATCGGTAAGAACATCTCCTATCGAGTTTGGTGGTAGCGGGGATGAAATAATATCGATTTTTTGAATTAATCTGAATTGGCACTCAAAGAGCATTCATTACTTTTTATGTTTTGTACTCCTAAGTCCTAACATTTAGTTTTGCGCTACTGGGTTATTTTTCCTCTTCTGATTCAATCAGTATGAAGATGGTCTTGTATTTGAATTTCGAGTCAGTGCCCAATCTCTTAAAAAGCAATTGCCACTGCTTCCATCTCCCTTCCTTTCTCTAATTTTTTTTTTTTTTGGTTGATGAACTCAAGAACAATAAAGGCCATTGGAATTCTCTTAGAAAAAAGAAACAAACTGATGGCATAGGCATACTTGGGGATGTAGCTCAAATGGTAGAGCGCTCGCTTTGCATGCGAGAGGTACAGGGTTCGATCCCCTGCATCTCCACTTTTTGGTATTAATATGGAAATTTTGTGTTCCTTTCTTCGTAACTTATTGTACGCTTTTTGGACAATTTTTTGGTTGAAGTTCGAAAACAAAAAAAAATACTTGAGCATTTTGAAAGTGAAATTTCTTTCGTAGTCAGAAATTGCTACCAAACTTCACAACAGATTATACATTAAGATAATAATAACGTGAGAGAAGTATCATTTTCACACCGTGGTAATAAATTCTATTCTAAAGTGTCACATGTCAACAGCATATTTAAATATATGTCTTTCCTCATTAACATTAATTGGTGCATCGAATCTCAAGTAATTTTATACCACGTTAAGATTTATATGTTCTTTAATCCTTTTGAGACTCTTGGTCAAAATCAGTTGGTTTGGGTTCAGCGTGTGCTTCATGGACGTGCCATTAGCATCTCTTTCTCAAACTTGTGCTCTTAAGGCTCATAAAATGCTGTTTGAAAATGCAGATTTGCTTTCATAACAACTAGCTCTCACAAGCTTATAAGTTCATCAGAATCACTTGGTTGGCATCCAAAATGATAAGTTTGTCAAGTCCTAAATCCCGAAAGGAAAAATATGTAAATCTTTAAGTAGGTCTGATTTTAAGTGTTACGCTATTGCTAAATTTTATATGCTTCTCTTGACATCTACTCGTGCCTATTGTTTATCAGTATAAGGTGTTTGAAGATGAATGTTGGACAATTATTGGAAAGATTGCAAAGATAATATTGATTTACTTGCATCGACATAACCTATCCTCTAATTGAGTTCAGAGAAAAATCATTCTTCTATACTCGTTCTCGATAAATTCTTTTGTCTTTGTTTGAACTTTGAAATACAATAAGTGTCGATTATGTACATAATCACGCCCACCTAAGCCTTATAAAAAGGACTCTGCGGACGTTGCAAATATAACCTGAGTATTACGCCCAGGGTCGAATCCACAGAGAGTTAACCTATCAACCACTATCTTCAGACCCACTAATTCTTCAGAACCAGCTTCCCAAATATTCAAATCTCAGTTGAGTGTTTTTTTTAACAACTAGCTTGCAAGTAACTAAATAGCTGTAAACTAAATTAATAAGGTTGTAAACAATTATGAGGAAAAGCTAAGGCAATGATTTCCCCTATTGATGGAATCCCTTCTGTTTATGCTCATACAAATTTACCCACACATCTCTATCAATCATGAACGCTAATCTTACCGCAAATCTCTCCCGAGTAATCTCAGTAATCTACTATTGCACTCTCCCGAGATACACTAGCTTACTTTATTTAACACACTTCACTTTAGATTACACCCAAGGCTTCGTTATCCCTAATCCCGCCTTTAAACCCGCAATTATAGATTCCTCTAATAATCTAGGAGTGGTGTTGTTCAACAATACCCTAAATATGCACTCTTTTCCAAGTTATGCACACTAAATAGGCATAGCTAATTGAGGATCATGTCAATTAACTACAACGAACACGAAGTTGAACAAATAGAGATTAAACTAGCAATTTATATTCACATAAACAAGAAGTTCATCACCCAATAGGTTCCATCAAAACCTTAGACAAGGAATTTAGCTACTCATGGCTATGGGAAAAGAAACTAAGATTGAATTCATCATAAAAATCAAAAGAAAAGAAGAAAGATGTTTAGAGTATTCTCTCACAATGGTTTTCCTTGCTAAGAAACCTTAAAAATCAATACATGCCTCTCTTGGGCGAAGTCTAATGTTTTAAATAGGGTTTAGGTCTAAAAATCCCGTAATTGACACTTTGGTCCCTGAAGTTTCTGCCGCGGTCGCGGTAGAACCGCGTCCAAACACCCTCGCGGATTCTTTGAACTTCTGCAGCTGCCTCCCACCGCGGTTCTGCCGCGGTCGCGGTGGAACCGCGGTGGATCTAGTACTCTGAATCTTCGGCCTGTTTTGCATGGTTCACTTGGAAAATTTCATAGTTGGCCTCTTTTTTCATCACTTTTAACTCCAAACTGCTCCTTAGCCTTCCTTATACATATATCACCTACAAATCATGAAAAGCACTAATAAGAGCATTTTGTCATCACTTTTAGCATTAAAACTACACAAGAAGGTGATTATTTAAGGTGTGATTATAGTCAAATTCACCTATTATCAACACCCCACACTTAAACCTTTGCTCGTCCTCGAGCAACTAAACCACACTTCTAGGCCTAACTGCTCAATGCATTGCCCCAATTTATATCACACCTGCTATTATCAAAGATTGACCTAAGCGGTGCACAATCATATCTTAGATGCAGACTCTCATGCCAAGACACACTTGTGCTAACTCTAATTACTCTAACAGAAATGAAGACTCATTTTTTCTTTCTGAGTCACATGCCCTCACATAAACAAAATTTGAGAGAAGTTCCACACACATAAAATTCAACAACAATGAACCATATATAGAAAGAATTCACTCACTCTTAGCAAAGAGCATTCACATGCCACACAGACACACCACAAGCTTGCCCCTAGTGTAATACTCCACTTATCAAGCCATTCAGTCAAAGATCAAGAGGTCTTTATAGGTTTTAATATAGGCTAAGGGACGGGTAGGATATATTTGGATATAGTGACTAACCTCCCTAAGCACTTTTAATACAAACTTCTTTTTGTTCCACCTTCATGTTCAACCCAATCATTATTCCACATTTTGTTTCACTTGTGACCCCCACTTTTCGTTAGGTACAGCTGGCTTCTTCTTTTTCTTTTCTTTTCTCTTCTTTTTTTTCTTTTTTTTCAGATTTATTGTACACTGCCAGTTCACCAATCCAGAACCTTCATTCTTTTTTTTTTTACTAGCTCTCTCCCACCCCACACTTTGACTTTTGTATATTCTTTAGTGATTAAGTGCTTCTAGGAGGTAAGGGTTCAAACAATTAGCTTATTCAAACACAGCGATTTAGATTATTATAGGGTTATCAAAGAACAGGCTTCATGCTCAAAGGGGTTAACTATGGTAATATGCACAAGTGGATTCTCAAGTATAAAGGGTTGCACAAAGAAATGCCTCAATCATCGCTAAAACTAAACGACTTCTATTTCGCTTTGCAAACACACAGGGCAAGTTCTAGGTATCATATGCAAGCATAGGATGCAAGTAACAACTCACACACACTTAGCATGTAACTCATTCCGAATCAGTTCATCAACACAATCATACGAGTGTTCAAGCCAGACAAGATGTGCAAAATTAAGGCATATATTATGAGTCCACAAACAAGCTTAGACGTCCACTCTCAAGTTCTTTTCTTTGCAAATGTGCACATTTGGGGTTACATTCTGACCTTCACCCATCTAATCCTAACACTACAAAAGAAAAATCTACCTAACCCGGTTCAAGAAAAAACCTTGGAAAAGAAACGTGGTCAAAAGAAAAACCAAGGGGGAGGTGCTACACTACCTAAAAGAAGAAAAAAAAATTAAAAAAAAAAATTCTACATGGACTATTCCCTCAAGAGTACTGTCCACATAGTCCGTCATCAGGAAGAGTCCTCTACAAGTTTTTGTGTTTTTTTTTTTTTATATATATCTGACTTTGACCCTCAAGAAACCCGTCAACAAGTGTCCGTTGTTGGGCCAAGTCAGCTATTCCTAATATAACACACTCACATATATACAACACATCTAATACTACAGCACACAACATCTATATACATTATAATACACAGTTGGAGCAAGTCTCCCACCCCACACTTAAAATCATGGCATGTCCCCATGTCATATTAATAAAGTAAAGAGCAGAAGGGTGAGAAGACTTCCCTGAGTTTGAGATATTTAGTAGGAGGGGGAGAGTGTAAGAAGAAGAATGTACAAGTAGATGCAAGAAATAGGCGTTGTGCTTTGGGAGATATTGGAAATCTTGTCACTGTTCCTGCTGTTGGAGCAAAGCCTCAACCTAAGAGTTCTCGCCCCATCACGAGATAGAACTAAGATTATTATGCATTTTGGTTTTATTGTGTAGCCGCCCCAATTTGTTTGAGATTGAGGCATAGTTGTTGTTCTTGTTGTTGGTTTTCTCTTGTATACGGCCGTGTAACCTGAATGAAAATTTTCACTATTCAGGAGGTTTGCTGCAGACTTAATAGCTAAGGGACAAGCACCAGGGGAGAAGAAGGTAGTTTTCATCGTTATCACGTAGATAATAGTTCTTTTAAAAGTTTTAACTTAGATTATTTATTATTGTCTTGGTTTGTTTGTAGAAGAAGCCTCCAGTAGAAGTTACCAAAGTAGCTGCAGCAAGGAAAGCTGGTGTTCCAACAAAAGCTGAAGAGTCTAAAAAGGTTTCTGTCAAAGCAAAAGCTGAAATAGTTACTGTTAAACGCCCCGATGAGGATGTGAAAACCACTGAAGAGGAGATCCCTTTGAATAGAAGAAAAGTAAAGGACAGTGGGAAGACTCTAACTTCTGTTCTAACTGCAAGAAGCAAGGTTGTTCTTTTACCTCTTCTTCCCTTTGCTGAAAAATGTACTAAGCAAGATCTGTATACAGTAAAATTGACCAATTTTTCTTAATCTTTCAGGCTGCATGTGGACTCCCCACCAAACTAAAGATAGAGATTGTTGATATTGATGCTGCTGATGTTGATAATCACTTGGCTGCTGTGGAATATGTTGACGATATTTACAAATTTTACAAGCTTACAGAGGTATGGTGAATATCATCTGTCTTTATGTTAACATTCATGTGACTTTACCATTATAGTGGGTAAAATTCAGTTACTTTAATGTGAAAAATAGTTTTGTGACTTTATTGTTGTAATGGATAGATAAAGTTCACTAATCATACCTGAAATAAATCCTGTTATTTTGATGATTTGGCTGATTCAGGACGAGGGGCGACCATGTGATTACATGGATTCACAACCAGAGATCAATTCCAGTGTAAGAGCAGTTGTTGTGGATTGGCTGATAGAAGTACACAAAAGGTTTGAGCTGAGTTCTGAAAGCCTATACCTCACAGTTAACATAATAGACCGTTTCCTTTCAAAGGAGACTGTCCCTAGAAGGGAACTTCAGTTACTTTGCATCGGCTCAATGCTTATTGCCTGCAAATACGAAGAGATTTGGCCTCCAGAGGTATAATGCGAAGTATATTCTGAAAATGTGTTTAATATGTTCAGTTCAAATTTAACACAATCTCCGATTCTCTGCTATGTATGTACCTGCAGGTTAATGACTTCCTAACAATAACAGACAATGATTATGTCAGGGACCAGATACTTGTAATGGAGAAAGCAATCTTGGAAAAGTTGGAGTGGTATTTAACTGTTCCAACAGCATACGTCTTTCTGGTTCGCTACATTAAAGCTTCATTTCCATCTGATAAGGAGGAGGAGGTACTGATCTATTCTCAATGTGAATTGTGCTACTTAAGCAAACAAATACAGCGGTTTAGCTGATGTACACATTTTCCTTTTTCGTTTTGAAAAAAGATGGAGAACATGACATTTTCCTTGGCTGAGCTCGGGCTGATGAACTACAAGACCGTGATATCTTACTGCCCATCAAAGCTTGCTGCTTCTGCTGTTTATGTTGCTCGTGCTACTCTCAACAAGAGTCCTAGATGGACGGACACACTGAAGCAACACACCGGCTACTCAGAGGACCAGCTGATGTAAGAAGTAGTTTAAACAATTCCCATTTGGGATTGGTAACTCCATATAGATTTTAAGCACTAATTGGGTTTGTATTGTTTGAAACAGGGAATGTGCAATGGAATTAGTTAGGTTTCACTCAGGTGCTGCTGAAAACAAGGTGGGTGCAGTTTATAGGAAGTTTTCAAGTCCAAATAGAGGTGCTGTTGCAAGAGATGTTCGATTGTGAGTGTGTGAGATCATGTCAGCTACTGATCTCTCTGTTTTGAAGCCTGAAGAAATCATACTGATTACTTGCTAGTAAAGTCATGTGCCCTTTTAACATGTATACTTCTGTGGATACTGAAAAATTTCGCCTTTTTAAATTCCACAAGAAATATTCCTGACAAAAAGTCCGGCCAATCATGATAGCAATAGAAGAGAAACTTTGGGTGGGCAACAGTGGTTTGCTGACATGAAAGAATATACTATGGAACATCAAAATTGATGAGCATAAATTTCTCTTAATCATAAAAAAAGAGGTCCTGAAGGGGTAGCAAATTCTTGTCTTGCTAAAAAATGGACATGTATTAATTCTTTATGTTGCAAGTTGAGAAGCACTTGCATTCAAACAGCTCTCGCCGTATTGCCCACTTGCAAGCTTGCTCTACTATGTTTTGCTCTACAACACCTCTGCTTTACACAAATTTGCTTTTATAGTTGACACATCCTATTAACATCTTCCCAAAAATTTCATACTCTTAAGCTCTCTTTAGTACCCTTTTTCAAAGACATTAGCAGCCCATCAGGGAATATAATATAAAACATGAAACGGAAAATGATAGGAGGTAGGCAATCCAATTCATTTAGCAGCTGGGGCTGCCTTCTACGTCGGTATTTTCCTTAATTGATGGAACAACAAATCTAGGAAATACCGTTATTAAAAATATTTATCTCAACAATATAATTTTCCTATAACTACTATGTTGAGAAACACGATTAATATTTCATATCCACAAGCCACATTAGATGCACAATTCATTGTACGAATTCATTCCCTTGGTTTTTAGCTCATATCATAGAAGAACCATACTGTTAAGAATGGTTTGCCTCTATACATAAGCCTTCTAAAACCAAACAAATTGAAGCTTAATATATGAATTTTTCGATGAACTGCTATTATTGTGTCATGGAAGAGGGGGCCGGGGGGAGAAAACTCGACAACATTAAGAATGATTTCTCAATAACATACTATGAAAATATGTGGAAACTGGTACATTGACAATATTTTGGCAGTACGTACATAACACATGATTATTTTTACACCAAGAAATGACAGCAATGATGACAGATTATCTAAAGTTGTCCTGCAGTGTGGCATGATATTGAGTCATGAAAAATAGAGAAAGATCTTGGAGAACTGATTCTGAAAGACAATGTTGAGAATGGCTAAGCTACATGAATATTTGTCGAGTTTAACGAGAGCACATTGTAGTATGTAAACAGCCGTATGTTATGATCTGAGCATCTTATAGTTGGTATTACACACATAACAAAAACCTGTCACATGAGAGCAAGAGAGGAAAAGGAAATTAGAAGAAGAATGAATTACCCATTTCTTTTTCTCTTGTTTTGATTTCGTTTTGAAGTGGTTTGAATGAAATACAACAACACGTGCATCAGAACTAGCTACAAGAATCTGAAGTTTCATCATTGACTTTAACCTTTGTCCCACAGCAACTCTTTCTCTCACGTGCCTCCACTTCCTTTTTACCAGAGCAAGCGCCGGCTTGATCATGTAATGTCTTCCCAAGATCAGGGATCCTCTCTATAAACTCTTTATTCTCTTTCCACACTTCTCCATTTGTATATACCTCCTTCTTCCATATCGGAACTGATGCTTTAAGCTCGTCAATCAGAAACTTGCAAGCATCCAATGCATCTGCTCGATGGACAGACGATATTGCAACAAATACACTAGTCTCTCCGACAGGAACAGTCCCCAAGCAGTGGGCAACTGCAATCGAGTGTATATCCCATGATGCTCGGGCAGAAGAACAAAGGGATTTAAGACAACGTATCGCCATTGGAACATATGCTTCATACTTTAACTCTAAGACTTCCTTGCCCTCAAATGTGTCGCGTGTTGTACCTTCAAACGTTGCTATAGCTCCACATTTGGGAGAACGAACATAACGAGTATATTTGTTGGTGTCTATTGGCTTATTCTCTTCCAAGATCTCAATTAGATCTCTCTCCTCATCAGCCATTTGAATCAGACCTATAATTCCAAACAACAGCTCAAAAACTTCACTTTTGCTTCCTAAGAATTACTATAATCCACTCTAGAAATATTTAACATTCACACACTTCTTCAACTAGCTTTTCGCCTCATTTTTTCTCTCTTTGTATTTGATAGAAAGCATATCGCCCCAGTGCACTAAGCTCCCGCTATGCGCGGGATTCGAGAAGGACCGGACCACAAGGTTCTATTATACGCAGCCTTACCCTGCATATTTGCAAGAGGCTCGAACCCGTGACTTCCTGGCCACATGACAACAACTTTACCAGTTACGCCAAGGCTCCCCTTAGAAAGTATATCACAGCAAATTTAATTAAGAACATACGACCAAACTAAAAGGGAAGGGATTAACCAGGACTGCACCAGCCTTTTGAGTTTCATAAGAGTTTTATCTGTTACATTAGGCTAATTATCCAACTATACCTATCAATCAACTTCAGCTAATGATATTGGATTATAATTCTCAAAAAGACTGCTTCATTAACTCTTATACCTCTCTTATCACTAATAGATACACAGAATAATTACTCATTAGTTATTTGAGATGTTAATATATTTAACAAATTAGCCTCAAGCCAAAAGAAGGCCAACAGGTTGAGATTTTTATGATTCAAGTGCAAGGATTTGGGATGATTAGAAATAACAATCCTTTAATACCAAGTGCAGAAAAGTCACGAATAATAAATATCCCATCCTTGTCATTTATTTTATTACAGAACATAACTCTTTACCCAAAAGATTGAATTTTTGAGAACTTACCAGTAGAAGAGAAGATTTTAGGAAGTGGCTGGTTGTTGAAACCGCAGTTTTGGAGATTATATTTTTGAGGATTGCAATTTTTGGGTCATTATATTTTTGGCTAAGTTCGGGTCAGGCTCATGGATGCTCTTATGGGTGAGTCGGGTTCTCACCCAATGGAAAACGGGCCAAATTACTCCTTTACTCCCCAAAATAATTTATGTGTTATGAAATATTATATTTATCATGTTGTCTCCCCGTGATCTCAAATGTTTAATGTCATGTTTATGGCATTCTTTTGTATGCCTCTATGTAATCCTATGAATAGAGGGTTTTGGCACCACATTGTACATACTTGAATACATGGAAGAAATAAGAATCTCTTCTCTCTTGCTCCCTACATTCTTGTCTATTTTCTTGTTTTATATTATTACTTTGAGCTAAGTTTCTTAACACGTTATCAGCACGAATTGTTATTTCCTCTCAGACTTTCTAAAAGGGATAAACGCTCTCCACGAGAGCTACAACTTCTTTTGCCAAGGAAAACTTTGGATTACATCTCGTCAGAGATCTTGTGGTAATTATGGAAGATGATACTATTGTCATTAATTTAGTTTTATATGCATAAAGATGAGAAAGGTAAACTTTTATACTACACTAGCATAATTACTACTATTGCATCTCAAGCCAATCCCGATTTGGTGATGACATTTTCTAGACTTAATTTTGAAGTATCATCTCATTATGTGTTGATTAGTGTTTATCTCTACTTGCTTCAAATTCATGAGATTTTGGACTAAAATTACATCCCAAAAATATTATATTTTGAATCATGCAATAATGTCACTTTTGCATAAACATGTAATAAATTATAAATCGAATTAGATCATTTTTAAGTACGATTGTTCTTACATAAAAGCAATCCCTTCTCATTTTAAGAAATGGTGATAGTAACCAAATATATGAGTTATATGCAGGCTATATATTATGTTAGATGTATAATTGTTAATGTGATTTAGCACAACATGCATTCTGATTGAGAAACAATGCTAAGTTCTCCTTTTCCCGATGAAATTAAAAAAAATGTTCAGGAGCAATTTCTCCTCCAGAACATAAGAGCATTACTTGTACTACCAATATATGATTTTTAAATTATTCTTGTACTTTCAACTAACATATTAAGTGCATGTATAAAGATTGCAACATTATAGACTTAAAATTTACGCATGTATTTTCTAAAGTGAATGTAATATATCTCGAATTTGCTCCTAAATTAGCAATATTTTGAAAGAAGTTTTAAGACGGCGGTTCAAGTCCCAGCGCACCATAAGGGTAAGACATCGGGTTCAAGTCCTGATGCACTGTGGTGATAAGAGTTGGATTTGTGTCCCAACTCATTATGGCCTAGCATGTTTTTATGTGGGTAAGGCATTGGGTTTGAGTCCCAAACCATATTGATGATCTAATGATGACTAATGAAAAATAATGTATTTTTCATGAAAAAGCATGAAGTTTGTCCCACTTGATTTGCTCCATTCTTGAAGTGAATGTGATAGCGGTGCATAATAAATCTAAATGAAGACAAGTGGTTGACTAATGAACGTGGGCGTGCCAAAGACCAAAATAATAATAGTCATCATTATGGTAATTATAAAAAGGAGAACTATAAGGGTTCTCAAAGTAATCCTTCAAAGGTAAAGGAATTGTGTATCAATATGGTTTGTAAATATGAGGCACTCAGACGATTATAGTCTATTTTTTTGAAAGAATACGATTTGTGATAAGCATTGTAAATGCAGACTCATTCCTGAAGTGAGTGTGAAAATATATATATGTGATACAAATTATGCACAAGAATATATTTATACATGGATGAATAAATACTACAACTCACCTCTACGGGAGGTTTGAGAGAAAGAAAGATCATGAACATTACTATGTGGTTACACGAATATGTCATTGGTCGTGTACATGTGGTATGCCGAAAATATTTTGCCATACCTTATAAAAAGTCATTAAAGGCAAAATTAAAGTAAGAAAAGATTTTGCTTATGATGATTTTGACCATGACAATTATTATGATAAGATAATTTTCTCCGTGGAGGAAAAATTCACCACTTGGATGGTGTTATAAAAGATCTTGTAGTGCAAAATTATTGAGAGCTCCAGAAGAGCGAATTTGTTACTACCCGAATAAATAAAATTATTCATGGCATTGGTGGTAGTAAGTCTCAAAATAAACTTTTCGAGTTTCAAATGTATTAGCCAAAGTGGTTGGCATATTGAGACTATAGATGAAAGGAAGATCGATTATCTTCATATTACTATAACATACCGGGTAAATATGAAGGTTACCTGATTTTTCTTCTATTTATACTACAGATGTATAAGCATGATGATGAAATCACATGCCATAGTAAATTAAATGTTTACTGAAACAAATATTAGTTGGCACGACCGGTTGGCCATCCCGGTTCAATTATGATGCGAAAAATGATTGAGAATTCACATTGGCATATATTGAAGAATTAGAAGATTCTTCGAGAATTCTCATGTACGACTTGTTCTCATGATAAACTGATTACTATACCAGCTGGAGTTGAGATTGTATTCTCTGATTTTTGGAACGTATAAAAGGTGATATATATATGGGCCTAGTCACCTGCCATGTGGACCGTTTACTATCATATAATTTTAATAGATGCATCTATTGTATGGTCACATGTGCATTGGTTATCAACTTGCAATTTGGCTTTTGCAAGGTTGCTTGCTCAAATTTGTCACGACCCGGTTCGCCCTCCATGAACCATCGTGACGGCACCTAGTCTCTACGACTAGGTAAGCCTAAATTGCGGAAAAGAAACCAAAATTTGCGGCAGTAAAACAATTTAAAACAGAAATAAGAAATAACCAATGTATAAATGTGCCGCTCGGCATACACCATATTTAACTCTCAAAACCAACACATAAATCCAAGACCCGGAAACCCATGAATCAAAAGCTAAGAAGTACTATATAGCTCTAACTCCAGAATGTCTAACAAGAATTGAAATACATAAGGGCTAATACTAAACAACAAGAGTAGAAAGAGACTCCTCGGTCTGCGGACGCGACAGATATACCTCGAAGTCGCTATAGCAGTCGCCTCGCCTTAGGGATGGTAGGACTGAATCGAAGTACCTGGATCTACACATGAAAAACATGCGCAGGAAGGGCATGAGTACACCACAGCAGTACTCAGTAAGTGCCAAGCCTAACCTCGGTTGGGTAGTGACGAGGAAGGTCAGGGCCCTACTGAGGTTAAATAAGATATAAGGTTTAACAGTGTGAAATAAACAGTGTAAATAAGTAACACAAGATATGAAGGACAACAACAACAATTATAGAGGCAAGTAAAACACAGTAAGAGAATACAACTCAGCTCCAAGATAACAACCGGGGATCTCCCAAGATACCCTCCTATAGTCCCCAAATATAAATATCATATCTAGTGGATCTCCCGGGTACAGTCCCGTAGTCCAACTCGTAAATGCGCGGGGATCTACCGGTAAAACCACATCCGTAGTCCCAAATATAAATACTCAGTACTGGGGAATCTACCGGGTGCAATCCCGTAATTCCAATGTAAAAGTGCAGGGGATCTCCCGGAATGCAATTCCGTAGTCCCAAAGTAAACATACAGCGAAGCTCCTGGGATACCGTCCCGTAGTCCCAAAATAAATACACAGCAGCAACAAGAACTCAATTCAATCCATTTCATACCAAAGTCAGGCAGATAATTCTAACCTAGCATGTTTCACGTAATAAAAATAAGGCAGTTAAGTCAAATAGAACAATTTAGTCAAATAGACATGCTTCTCTAGACTAACAGCAGGCTAAATTTCCAAGTAGTGTAAGCAAGAAAGAAAAACACAATTCAAGGCTATTTTTAATGAAATAAAACCGGATTTCCAACAATTAGCACAAGTACACACTCGTCACCTTACGTACAAGGCATTTCAATTATCACAATATCAATCCTAAGGGGAGAGGTCCCTCACACAAGGTTAGACAAGCCACTTACCTCGAACCGGCTCAAATGTCAACCCGAAACCACGTTCTTGCCACGAGTATCCGACTCCAAATGGCCCAAATCTATTCAATTAAATTTCATAATGTAAATAACACTTCAAGTAACTGATTCTACAATTAAATTCTAAGCTAACACGCGAAATTAGGTAAAATGACCAAAATGCCCCTCAGGACCACGTCTCGGAATCGGGTAAAATTAATATTTTCGGAATCCTCATACTCTCATGAGTCTATGCATAACAAGAACACTGAAATCAGAGTTCAATTGACCCCTCAAATACCCATTTTTAGGTCTCTTAAACTCAAGCCCTAATTACCCACTTTTTCAAAAGTTTTCCACCACTAATTAGGTCTTTAATCACATTAAAAAACGAGTTATGAAGTCAAAAATGTTACCTCCAAGTGATTCCCCTTGAATCCCTCTTCAACCCTCTTCAAAAAGCTCCAAAATCGCCTAACAATGGAGGAAACTAGGCTAATATTCGCGAAATAACCCCTTTAAAACATTCTGCCTAGGTATTTTAATTCCTTCTTCGCAAACGCGGTCAAGGCCTCGCATTCGCGAAGCACAAAATGACGCTGACCAAAAGTCCTCTTACGCGAACGCGACATGGACAACGCGGACGCGATGCTTCCACGGACCAACCCTTCGCGAACGCGTTACACCTCTCGCGAACGCGAAGGCAAAAATTCGATCAACTCCCACTGACTCTTCGCGAACGCGAGGGTCCACTCGCGAATGCGAAGAGTAAATATCTACAACAGCTGAACCTGCAATTCTGCAATTTTTTTACAACTTAAAATAATCCGTTGAGCATCCGAAACACACCCGAGGCCCCGGGACCTCAACCAAAGGCACCAACAAGTCTAATACCACTGTCCAAACTTGTACCAATCCTTAAAACACCTAAAACAACATCAAAACCTCAAATTAACCATAGATTCAAGCCTAAGAACTCCAAAATTCTAAAAATACGCTTTCGATCAAAAAGTCTATCAAACCTCGTCCGAATGACCTGAAATTTTGCACACACGTCAAATTTAAC